ATTATTGTAAGGCCAAAAGTTATGGAATTGTTTGTGGAAAAAAGTGTATGATTTTAGATATTTAAATAAATAAATTATCATATACCAATACTCTACATCCCAACAATTGAAGCTTAAACTTATTAGTGTCCAAATCTTTCAAACTTTTAGCAAGTTTAAATACTATATTTTCAAAAACATGATTAAACATATAACATTTAAGGATTGATTTACATTATTATTTATAAAGTTTAAAGATAAATAAATAAAATCACATAAAATAAGATTAAAAAAAAGGGAAGAATAAACCTTTTAATGCAAGATTTCCAATTAAATGAGTCTCCAAGAATATGTACAATAACTCAGACGAACGCCGAACAAGCATAAGCAAAGATGATCATCAAAGCCGGTGAACAGAGCTCCAACGGAATCCTTGACCTCGACTGTTAACACCACTATTTGGCGTGTAAAAGGGGATGTTTTGAAGTATTTTTTGTTGGGTTTTGGGGTGTTGAATTGCTGGAAATTTTCGAAAGAAAGAGGAAGAAAGAATAACACGAGTAGAAATTGTCGTAGCGTAGAAGAAGAAAACAATTCTCCCCTCTCTTTTCCTCAAATTTTCTCTTCTATTTATAGCAAAATTTTCGAAATTTTTCAGATTTTTTTTAAAAAAAATATTTTATTATTTTTTAATTAAAAGAAATCGCACTTACAATTTGCTTTTCTTTTTTATAAAAAGAAATACCACCTTTATTTACTTTTATTTTTTAAATTCCAACTTTAATTACTTTTATCTTATTTAAAATCTCACTTTTTTTTACTTTTAAAAGAGGATTCCACTTATTTTACTTTTCTTAAAAAAACAATCCACTTTCTTTTACTTTAATTTTTTTTAATTTTCAGTTACCTTTATATTTTTTTTAATTCCAACTTTCTTTACTTTTTATTTTTTTAAAATTTTCACAAAACTTTACTTTTAATTTTTCACTTTCTTTTACTTTTTAAAAGAGAATTCCACCCACTTTTACTTTTTTTCTTCTTCCATACTTCCCTTTTTCTTATTTTTTATATCTCACCCGAAAATTAAAAAAAAATTAATATTTTTCGGATTTTTTTTTATTTTAAAAATAAAAATAAAAAATAAAATAATAGTAATAGTAATAATTCACCTTTTAAAATTTTGTATTTTTACCCTATAATAAAAAGTGTAACAAAGCTAAAAATTATAAAATTAGGTGCTCACAAGTTGTTCTTCCACCAACCCAGCGGTAGAAAATCCTTTGTGAGGGGCTCTGGTGACTTTTGCAAGTAGAATTGTAGTTCATCAATATTTCTGCTACGTGTTTGTTGATGCTCTCCTAGTGTAGACCAAATCAGATAATCTTGAACACAATCATCATCATCCATAGTTGTTCCAAATGTTGAAGGATTAATTGAAGGAATATTTGCATCTACAACCGAAGAAGCATCAGCAATGTTAGCATAATAATTATATAAAGTTTGTAAATGTGTGTGTAGCTCAGAAATACAAGTGTCAATATCAGGAGTTTCAGTTGGTCCAATATCTATTTAAGTATATAAAGCTCTAATTAATTGGCGACACTTTATCATTTAGACAATAATGTTTAAAATAGCACCAATTAGGTAAATATAGGTAATTGGGTAGCAATATTTTTTAAACTTATCTAGCATAGATTCAACAACAGTAGCATATCATTCTTTCTGCTTCAAAATATGTAGTAAACGAGAAATTTCAGCAATATGAACTAACCCATTTTTGTTCCAGAAAACTCAAGCGTAGCCACATAAAAATTTTGTAAAAATTGTACAACATCATGAATGACATCCCAAGTTTTAGATGTTAACAAACGCCTAGGATCGGTACAATGAGAATTAGCAACTTCAGTTTTAGGCATTCTATATTTATAACAATATTCTTAAGAACAAATAAGTATAATTCCACCTAGTAACTATTTCTTCAGGCATGAGTCTTGGTTTTAGTCCATAGTGTACACATTTTTCCTTAAATGCATTTAATCTAGCACTTTTATTATTTCCTTGAATTACACCAATAGCTCTCTTAATTAAAGTAATTTCATCTCTAAATAATTCAAGGCCACTCTTCACAATCAAGTTATAAATATGACATGCACATCTAACATGAAATATTTCAGGAAGTGGTGGGTGTAGATGCAATTTTAATATTGTAATAGCAGCATTGTTGTTAGAAACATTATCAAATGACATACACAAAACGTTTTCTGCAAGATTATAAAATATAGCAACTTCATGGATAGTATTATTTATAAATGCACCAGTATGACTTTGATCTTTATCATATTTAAACGTAATAATACGTTTTTCCAGACAAAAATTATCGTCTATCCAATAGCATGTAACAGTCAAATAATCATTTCCATTTACAGCACGACCAATATCAGAAGTAAAAGAAACTCTACAAGGAAGACTTGCGAACAAATAACGTATATATGTCTGATATTGTACAAAAAGCCTAAAGATATCAGCTCTACAAGTACTTCTAGGAATACCTTTAAATATAGGATTATAAATTCTTTGAATATAAGTAACAAGATACGGTGGAGAAGCAAAACTAAGGTAAACAACCTAAAACAATCATTTTAGCTAATTCTTCCCGATCTTTCTTAATATCGTATTTCCCAAATAACCCCCCAGTATTCAGGTTAAGTTTTTGTTCCTCAGATGACTCATTTACTCCCCAATCAAGAGAGTGTTTCTCTTTCATATGCCTACGAAGTTGACCCGTTCCCCCTCCTTTATCGGGCTCATGCTTATAATGTTCGCTACAAATTTTACATTTTACATAATTTTTTTGATCTTCTAGTCTTTCAAAAAACATCCAACACTTACTTCCTAATCGTCGATTCTTCTTAATAGGGAGAGGAGGCCTACTTGTTGCACCCCTAACATTTTGAGTTTGACTAACATTACCAGGTGTAGGCGGTGGTANAACACTTACTTCTTAATCGTTGATTCTTCTTAAGGGAGAGGAGGCCTACTTGTTGCACCCCTAACATTTTGAGTTTGACTGGCATTATTAGGTGTAGGTGGTGGTATTTCAAGATTATCGGGTGATTGAATATCATCTAGATCATTATCTACACCAAAATTTTCTTGCATTCGCTCATAATCTACATTTAAATTTTCAGGTGAACTTTCAGAAATATGTGTAAAGCTACTAGAAGAACCAACACCACCTCTTGTTCTTTTGGAAGTTTTCTTACTACCACCTCTACTAGTGCACGTTTTTTTGGCCGCTCTAAGTAAATCCATTATGTGAATTAAATTAAGAAATTAAATTAATAATTCTAAATAATAAAATAAGTGTACACCAAATAAGAGAAAGAGATGGAACAAGTGTACCGGAATTCTGGATGCCGCACTAATTTTGAATTTTTGATATCAAAAATCAAACTTCAATTGATAGACCGAAACTTGATACTTGATACTTGATACTTGAATACTTGATACCACACTTCACTTGAGNATCTGGTCGTTCCCCAACGGTCATTTTTCAATTTGACCGCCGGGAACGGTCTAATTAATTTTAAAAAAAAAATTCCAACGGTAACTGGGCTGCAGCTCGTTAACAACCTATTGACGGATGACTGGTTACGTGGGTTTGGTGCCTCGTTAAGTAGAACGTGGTCGTCCAAAACCCGTCCCCCTACCAACCCGCCCAATAATAAACAGTAGCGGGCTGAATCGGGCTAAAAACGGGTCAGTCGGCCCCGATTAACAAGTATAGTCTAAAATGAGGCGGACACCAACTAACGTAGACATTAGCTCACTAAAATAGCACAAATTACAACTTAAACCGAACAAGATTCGAATCTGCCCATCCGAACATTCCAAGTTTCCAACCCAATATGCGAATCAGTCCAAATTTCAGACAAAATTACTAGGCAAAAATCCGACGGCTATAAATCACTGAAAACTCCGCCATAATTGTTCCCCTGAAAGCATTATTATTTTTTAAAACTGAAAGCATAATTCCAGTATCTAAAACAGTACCTTCCCTATTTCTGTCTTCTCTCTCTTATTATAACAGAAATACCAGCCTATTTCTTCCATACTTGTACTGTCCAAGTCCTTGGCCTCCATTTTCTGATAAAGGGTCTTAAAGGGTGTCCAAATCTTGAATTTTCTTTAAAATTTGTTGAACCTTTTGTGCTATGGCAACTTTCCCTCTGCTTCTTTTAACAACCCATTGTTTCCATACTTGTGTTGTTTAGGTCTTTAACCTCCATTTCCTGATAAAGGATCTTAAAGGTTATCCAAATCTTGGATTTTCTTTAAAATTTGTTCAACCTTGTGTTATTGTAACTCCACTCCCCCCCCCCCCTCTTCTTTT